GTTGTTGTGTACAGTTATGATCAACTTACAACTCTTATTTTTATCAGTATTGTTATAATCATTTTTTTGGTAAGTACTAGACTATTCCAAAAATTAAATTATAAATCAACACACATAGTCTTAGTGTCGTTGATAACACTGAAATTGTTTTTCTTTTTTCTGCCACTGGTAGATGAAGCCATTCTATCTGCCAGTTGACATCCTCTCTAGAAAGTTGCAATGTGGTAACAGTGCTGTTTCCCCAACATTTTACTATGAAAATTTTCAGACATGCAACAAAGTTGAAATAATTTTACAGCTGACACCCATATACCTTCCACCTCGATTGTGCCATTAATATCAACATTGCTTTATCATATATCCATTTTTCTATCATCAATTCATCTTAATTTTTTTTTATGCGTTTTGAAGTGAATTGCCAATATCAGTGCACTTCCCTCCAAGGTGAAACCATTTTTAAAATGATTGCTGTCAAATTGTCTAGCGTAAACTCTGGTCTTCCGAATATCATTTATTCCGTTGAACTTTTATTTGTAGGACTGTCTGACTAATTCAGTCATAGAAATAAATAAATGGAAAGTATTGTCTATTTTAAGCGGATAAGTATTTTCATGTGTCTACTTTAACTTTTAAACCTCTCTCACTAGAAGGTCTTGGTTGACCTTCACTAGTATCTAGATAAGAAAAACATGTTTTATTTGAAAAATCAATATATTATAAAGTACTTTGTTTTTTGAGTGGTAAGAAAAGTCAGTGAAATGTGAGGAAATTATAAGAAGTTAGCTCTAATTCCTCTTCTGGGAATTTTGATTATGAACAGCTGATAAAGTGTCACTAAAGAGACCTAGTCAGGGAAATGCCTCTCTTTATTCTTTTTTGCTTTCTTTCTCTTTTTCTTCCTCGCCTTTTTGTCCTCTCTCTTTTTCCTCACATTCTTCTTCCTTTTGTCCCTCTCGCTTTTTCTTCTTTTCTTTGATAGTACCTGGGGAAAGGCATATATTTTATTGCATTTATTTGCTGAGGGGAAAGAGAGAGTCAAGAGGCCAAGTCATGAGACGGAAGGGCCACTGGAGAGCAGAGAGAACAGACTTTAAATTAAGGGCCGGGAAACATTTTCTGTGAAGGGCAGCTGGTATTTATTTTAGGCTTTGCAGGCCAAAAATTTTCAGCTTTGCTATTGCAGTGTGAAAGCAGCTATAGACAATATGTGAATAAATGAACTTGGCTTTGTTCCAATAAACTTTATGGACACTAATTTGAATTTCATACAGTATTCACATGTCACAAACGTTTATTCTTTTTCATATATTTTTCAACTATTTAAAAATGTAAAACATTCTAAACTTGAGAGCTATAAAAAAACAGATGACTAGATTTGACACGAGCTATGATTTGATGACTGCTATGGTAGTAACAGGGATTAAACCTTGGACAGGAAATATACCAAAAAATCAGTATTAGTATATACTTTTCCAACTTAGAGGCCTTTTATGTGCTCTAAATTTTATATGCCCTAAATTAGGGGGAGGTACAGGTGCACTCAGATAATTAAGGTGTCATTAGACTGAGGAAAAAGGAAGAATGCTAAATATACTCGATTCCACCATTTATGTGGAGGTTCTGGTATGGCCTCATTTAGTCCTCTCATCAATGTAGCTGCTATTTGTAATCTTGGGGTAGAGAAGCAGATCAAATAGAGCAGGCTACTCTTAAATCCTCCCTTTAATGATATTAAAAGCTCAAGTTTTATAGTCAAGCCTGGGTCCAAATCTCTTATTAGATGTGTGACTTATTATTTAATTCTTCTGAGTATGAGCAGAATGGGGGTTAATATAGGTAACTCATACACTTGTGAGGGTGATAATAACAATTACACAAACAGTCATAGCAGCTAACACTTATATAGTGCTTAATATGTGCCAGGCAGTGTTATAAGCACTTTCTATATATAAGCACATTTAATTCTCTTAGAACATGGTAATTCTTACATATACAACACTATTTTAACGACGAGAAAGCTGAGACAAAAGAAAGGCTAAGTAACTCATTCAACGTTATATAGTTAATAAAAGGCAAAGCTAGTCCGTGAACTTGGGCAGTCTGGCCTCAAAGTGCAAGCTCTTAGCTGTTAAGGTTTATTGCCTTCTAAAGTGGGAATATCTACAAAGTGCCTAGCACATAAGTCCTCAACAAATTAGAGACATATCAACTTTACAGAAACAGTGGTACCATTTCCTCAAGAAACTTAGTCTACCCGTGTGGTACCAGATATGCATAAATGTGAGTTTCAAATTACGATTTTTCAGAAAGTTTTTTACTCTTTTTCAATTGCGCATTATTTATGGAATTTATTTTTCCATAAAGGTTTTCAGTACTATTAATGTTAAGAATTAGTTATTTCAGAATGAATCGCCTTCTGCAAAGCAGTATAGTGGGAATGACTTAGATTCTGAAGCTGAAAGACTCCTGGACTCCTATTCTAGACCTAGTTCCGTACTTTCTTAGGTCTATGTGATCTTGGGTACCTGATTTGACTCTTTCAGTTCTGTTTCTCTTTGGCTATGGACTGAAGATGTTTCTCAAGGTCATGGGATTCAATGAGATAACCTATGTCAAAGTTAATCCTCAGGTCATGAGATTCATATGAGATAACCTACATCAAAGTGCCTAGCAATTTGTCTAGTGTGTTTGTTATCAGGCATTCAACAAGTGTTTGTTTCTTGCTGACCTCCCTGGTACATAAAATAACTTAAAAATTAGTACTGAAAGGACTCTTCAAGGTAGAAAACTGAGGCCCAGAACATTATTCGGTCATGATTGTGTAACTACTTAGAGACAGAGGGAGCTGACACCTAATAATGCAAGTCTTCTAATTTTTCAGTCTTGTTCTGTTTTCACTGTTCACACTCCTTCTTTATGCAGTAGAGATAGGAGTATTATGTATATAACAGGTTTTGGAGGGTTATTTAAAAAATATCTAGAGTATTTTAGTATTTTAACTGTGAAAATTTTTCAAAATCATAGGGATAATTTAGTAAACCTTGAGACCCTTCAAATCATGTATATGAAGTTTTATAACTGCTAATGTTTTCCCCATTCATATATATTAATTTTTAATATATCAGTAACATGCTTATTATAGAGAAAATAAATTGGAATCAAAAAGGTGGAAGTAGTTTTAAAACTCATTCTATCACATCACCCAGGGAAAATGACTATGAACGCTTTGAAACAACAATGGGTTCATCCTACATCTGCTACTTTGTACCTGTCTTTTGTCAGTTAGTGATGTTTCAAGAAGACTGTTCCATGCCAAATTCACATCTTGGCAATTTTTATTTATTTAATTGTGTGAACTCTGTATCAGTTCACTTAAGTAATCCTCTATTTTAAGACTTTTGATACATGTTCATAATTTTCCTCCAGAAAGGAAATGCCTGTTTGCATTTCTCACTGGGGAAATCTACTGCAGTTTGGGAGAACATGGCATTTATCTGTCATTCTTTACTGAAGAATAGCAATATATGTTTTAAATCATCTAGATTCTACATATCCCTTTCTTTACATGTTGTCACTTTCATATTTTGCATAATGATATATTTGGAATAATAATTTTTAATTTTGAAAAGTGGGATTGTTATTGCTACATATCTAGTAAAATACCTCTTAAATCACATTCATACAATTTTAATATGATTTGTGAGTCTTTCTTTTTTCCTATTTGCATGCAGTGAGTGGTAAATTTGCGTGTAACTTTTGAAAAATATAAGCACGGTAACGAATTGAATGTGTTTATCAGTTTTTGTCATCTATCTTCATGGTTTAGAGACAAAGTCCTACTTTTGAGACAAAATTGAACTTACTAGTATGCCCCTTATCTAATTATTTGTTGCATTGTTAGTTTGTTGAGTTTCTCATGATTAGCAAGATGTAAACTCTAGTGCCATTGGCAGTTTAGTCCTACATTAGTAGGATAATTGTATGAACGTTTTGAAAATCAGGTGAATTATTTTTTCTTATAGTTTTGATAAAGTTTTTATTTCCATACTTGTGAATTTGGGGCCAAAAAGAATAGCTATGACTTACGTTTCTTTGGATCCAGTAGTCTACTTAAATTATGGTAATCTTATATCATCAGTAGGAGCATGAAATTTTAGAGTTAATAAAACCATAGAGATAGATAATGTAAGTTCATTTTCTTGCTTGTGCAAATAAGCCTTTCCTCAGTCTTCTTGATTGCTCTGCTAGAACAGCCATAATAGAACATTAATCTATGTACTTTAAATTCACAAGTAACGCGAGTAAGATTTTGCCTAACAGAACTCAAAATATCCCATGTTCCTATGATATGTAATTAATGAAGAGGTTTAATGACAAGTTTTAGGTTTAATATAGTGTACTTTAAAGCTGCTTTCTTGCAGCATAACACTAGCTTTGGATATTTCACTTATAAATTTATTTTTAAATCTCCCATGTGGTTGATAATTGGGAAACATAATTTTTATTCCAAATAGACAATCTATGTTAATTACAAATCAAGTATTCACAAACTGCTGAAACAAAATGGTGATTATATAAAGAAAATTGGACTGATGCTTTAAATAGACTCATTTTCTTAATGCTGATTTTTAAAGTGATAAAGTAATAAAACTCTTAGCCATAAACCTTGTGATTTTTCAGCTATTGTGCTAAACAATTTAAGCACATATGCCATTAAACAAGCTCTCCCCCTTTTTAACCAAAGGAAAGCATACTCTGTTAAAACAGTGCTTTCAATATACACTGGCATTCTTTATTGTAATATCTTAGGAAGTAGTTGTTGAATATTTCACTAGCCAAACTTTGTAGGCAAATAGTGGCTCGTAACTTTCTACCTATCATCTTAATAATGCAGATTTATTACTTCAGTGCTTCACTAACTTTTGCCTTAATGATCTGTTGAGCTTTATACCTTAGTGCTGTACTAATCACTGTGCTTGTTGTTTGAATGTTTGGTACAGGAAGCGAGCAGCTGCAAAGCATCTAATAGAACGCTACTACCACCAGTTAACTGAGGGCTGTGGAAATGAGGCCTGCACGAATGAGTTCTGTGCTTCCTGTCCAACTTTTCTTCGTATGGATAACAATGCAGCAGCTATTAAAGCCCTTGAGCTTTATAAAATTAATGCAAAACTCTGTGATCCTCATCCCTCCAAGAAAGGAGCAAGCTCAGCTTACCTTGAGAACTCGAAAGGTACCCCTAACAACTCCTGCTCTGAGATAAAAATGAACAGGAAAGGAGCTAGAATTGATTTTAAAGGTAAGATGTTCTGTTTTTTAATTGAGAATTGTTGACTGAAAAGCATAATAGAAATTTAAATGTGTGAGTTTTTGTTTGTTTGGTTTTCCTTATTTTGTGACAGCAGGACATGATAGTACAGTGTAACCAATTTTTTATTGTGGTAAAGGACAGAAATGAAAATTGAATTAATGACTTAATTACATTTTACTTATCTGGTAGTTGCTAATTAGAAGCAGATTATACTACAGAAGTTCATTTGTTAATGGATTGTTGGAACTTAAAAATTTCCCGTAGTAAAAATATGTTAAGTGGCAGTTAATCTCCTAAACTAAGCCACAAAGTCTATTTAAGTTATTAGCTGGACTAATAAATATCTGGCATGAGTTATGGAACTCCAGGACCGTGTGGTGAAAGAAGCAGAAAAGGGAGCAGTGATTTTTTTTTTGTTTGTTTTTGTTTTTTTACCATTTCTGAAAGCAAGGCAAAATTTTGTAATGGTAATGTGAGAGATAATTCTATTTTTCTTCTAATATGTTCTCCCCATATCCTCCTCACTCTCTTCCTAGGCATTTGGTGCACTCCTGCTGCCAGGGAACATGACCTACCAATGGCATTCTTCACTCAAGTCTTTTGTTTTCTAAATGTTCCTATGTTGCAGAATTGTTAAACTTTTTTTTTTTTTTTTCCATTCTAAACTCTCAACTTTTTTTCCTTCAGTGAAAGTAATTAGTATCAGTAGTGTAATCAAATTTTCAAATGACTACCAGGGCTTAAGGCCATCAGAGACCATTGTATTTTAAAAGAGAAAGCTTTTCTTTGAGACATACATAAGTTAAGGAATGCTTTTCAAATTTTTAGTAACATCACTGGAGTCCAGTTTAAATGAATTAATGAAATGGAATTGTGTTTTAACCTGTACTCTATTTCCACAATAAAACTGTTTTCATCACTCGAGACAACTTTGTTGCTTCAAAATGTGTAGTTCTATTTCATGAGTTAGTTTACACACAGGATAAATAGGTGAATGTTGTCAACATATATAATGTGGAAGCTGCATTAATTTTAGCATACACATTTCTCTAGCAAGTGCGCACCACAGAGTACCATTTGCTGAATGTAGAGTGTGCTGGCACAGATGAATGCAGCCAGCTATGGAGGGATAAGATACATAATGGATGTACTGATCCTCTTTTTGGCCATGTACTTCATCTTAGAGGTCCTTATTAACTGGCTCTTCTCAGTCTTTATGACCCTCTTTTTTGCTCACGTCTACATAATGTAGTAGTTTCAACCTTTCCTTATACCTTTTTTTAATATGTTACTGTCCCCTCCTCTTTTTTTTTTTTTTTTTTTTTTTTTTGCAATGTTCTGTATTATATGCAACATTCTATGGTATATTTCTGTTAGAAATTTTAGATGTTTTAACTACACTATTACTTTTATTTGATTAGTAATTATTTTTGTTAGCTATAGTTACAAAGTTGTATAGAGATTGAATAGGCTGCCCCAAACTCTTTTTGCATAGGAGTTTTTTAAGTGTGAAATATTACGAATTAAGAATATTTTCAGGAATGCACATTTATCACAAAATTTACAAGTAAATCTTACAAAAATGTCTCATTTAATATTGTCTCACTAGAACATCTCTTTTTCTTGTTAACCAAACTTTATGAATATCTATATCTTATTGCAGTGTTTTTGACTAATTTATACATATGTATATATATCTGAAAAACTCAATTCAACATATTAAACAAAAACACTAGGTGGAAAAAGTACAGGTAAATTCTAGATTGGATTATAACTCTCCAAATCATTTGAAGATATTCTGAAAGCATAACATATCAACAAAGGGTATGTGGGTCTAGAATGTTGATCTTCCTGAGACAGGCTCTGTTACAACACTCAAAGGAAGTCTTTGTTAACAACCTTATTATTTGATAAGGAAGTTAAGTGTTTTATGTCCTAACAGGACAGTTATTTATAATAAGTATTTTCTGTGTTTTGGTTACATTTTAGGAAATTAGGGGTTTTGCATTGTCTTCTAAGAAGGTATTATAATATTTTCCAAGTAAAATAATGAGAAATAGGCTTCCCGTTAGTGGTTTTATACTGTTTGAGAAGCAATTACTGATGTTTAACTAAAGATATTTAACTATTCGTAATAGATTCTTAATAGAACAAACTCGAGAATTTATTCTGAAAGAGGGCTCATAAAAGACACTATACAGGTGTTGGCACTCTTGTAGCTGGGCCACAGATCGGATTAGTGGTGTGATAAAATTTTTGTGGTTCAACTTTGGAAGCCATTCATTCATTGATCATTTTATATTGTCTTTTACTGTGAAATAAATGTATTACAACAAAGGTAAGAATCATATTAAAAATTTTATATGTTGTGCAGTACATGTATAAGGGTATATTTGACACAATGAAGGTTAGATTACGTGCCTCTAAAATTATGCTTAAATATTTGATCTAATGATGACAAATCTGTTCTTTTATTGATTAAAGGGATGGATTAAGACTTTTCAGCATTATGTTGTGTGACCAATATAATCTCTAGAAATTTACAAAATATATACAAAATATATCATTTGTTTTTACCTGTAAAATAAAATATCTTTCATTCATTAGCCAGAAGGGAAAGCCTTGGCTTGAAAATAAACACCTCAGAAAGCTGGGAAATGTGATGAAACTTCGTACCCAGAAGGAAGAGGAAATAGATTTTGCTGACTACATAGTCTCTATGCTACTTGTCTGCTCAGAAGTTGCCTTCCTCCCACTATTGTTTCTCATTGCCCAAAAACTATTTTCTGTCACTCTGTAAGGTACCTGATTCCTGGCTGCAGATAGCAGTTTCAGCTTCAGAGCTTATGAGAAGTGGTGTATTCTTTTCAATCACCCACAGAACGGACCCTCTGGAACAAACTAGGAGGACCCAAAAAGAACCAGTTTACTTTTAATACATACGGAAGTATGAAAAGAGCCATTTCCAAAAGATGGTATTGAAGGAACCTTTTTTAAAACCTTGCCTTCTTAGTCTTTTGAGAAGAGTAGTGAAACAAGGAAGAAGCCTCTCAGGACAATAGTAGTGTATCTGCTCTGTGGTGAGGTTGCAAGAAATTTATTGTGGTGAATCAGCACATGATATATTGGTTCATATTTACAGTTAAAGCTACATGTTAATAAATACATTGATTGTGAAGAGAGTTTATGTTCTCATGATGTCATTAAAAGCTATGTATTGTTGAAAGAATGTGAAAGAGTGAGGTTGTTGATATTAGTAGTTCATTGAAAAAAATGGGTAGGCATTATATTTTGTTTGCTGAATCTAAGTATTAGATACTTTTTTCCTTTAAGAGTTGTAAATCATAAATGATATTGAGTCCATAATGTTTGGCTGTTTTACTTTTGGAACTTAATACAACAAAGTAAACATGCATATTATGAAAATAAATGTTCTCTTTTTTTTCTCTGATTTTCTAGATGTGACTTACCTAACAGAAGAGAAGGTATATGAAATTCTTGAATTATGTAGAGAGAGAGAGGATTATTCCCCTTTAATCCGTGTTATTGGAAGAGTTTTTTCTAGTGCTGAGGCACTGGTACAGAGCTTTCGTAAAGTCAAACAACACACCAAGGAAGAGTTAAAATCTCTTCAAGGAAAGGATGAAGACAAGGATGAAGATGAAAAGGAAAAAGCTGCAAGTTCTGCTGCTGCTATGGAAGAAGATTCAGAAGCATCTTCCTCGAGGATAGGTGATAGTTCACAGGGAGACAACAATTTACAAAAATTAGGCCCTGATGATGTGTCTGTGGATATTGATGCCATTAGAAGAGTTTATACCAGATTGCTCTCTAATGAAAAAATAGAAACTGCCTTTCTCAATGCACTTGTATATTTGTCACCTAATGTGGAATGTGACTTGACGTATCACAACGTATACTCCCGAGATCCTAATTATCTGAATTTGTTCATTATTGTAATGGAGAACAGAAATCTCCACAGTCCTGAATATCTGGAAATGGCTCTGCCATTATTTTGCAAAGCAATGAGCAAGCTACCCCTTGCAGCCCAAGGAAAACTGATTAGACTGTGGTCTAAATACAATGCAGACCAGATTCGGAGAATGATGGAAACATTTCAGCAACTTATTACTTACAAAGTCATAAGCAATGAATTTAACAGTCGAAATCTAGTGAATGATGATGATGCCATTGTTGCTGCTTCAAAGTGCTTGAAAATGGTTTACTATGCAAATGTAGTGGGAGGGGATGTGGATACAAATCACAATGAAGAAGATGATGAAGAGCCCATCCCTGAGTCCAGTGAATTGACACTTCAGGAGCTTTTGGGAGAGGAAAGAAGAAACAAGAAAGGTCCTCGAGTGGACCCACTGGAAACTGAACTTGGTGTTAAAACTCTGGATTGTCGAAAACCACTTATCCCTTTTGAAGAGTTTATTAATGAACCACTGAATGAAGTTCTAGAAATGGATAAAGATTATACTTTTTTCAAAGTAGAAACAGAGAACAAATTCTCTTTTATGACATGTCCCTTTATATTGAATGCTGTCACAAAGAATTTGGGATTATATTATGACAACCGAATTCGCATGTACAGTGAACGAAGAATCACTGTTCTCTACAGCTTAGTTCAGGGACAGCAGTTGAATCCATATCTGAGACTCAAAGTCAGACGTGACCATATTATAGATGATGCACTTGTCCGGGTAAGTTGGGTTACTATTTAAAATTAATAGTAGATTAAAAACCTAATGATGGGGATATTGTGATATCATTAGTGAATTCATTTTATAAGTGACTGAAAAAAATGATGTCATGTAGCATAGGAATACATGAATATTTCTGATTCTAAATATAAGTATTATACTTTTGTTGTTCCTAAGTTTATAAATGTGTTCTATAAAGTATTAGTTGTCTTATATAATGAAATCTTGAAAACTAGAGCCCACAGTTTCTCCATTCAGAAGAAAAGAGGGTGTTGGGGAAAGACCTGAACACAGGAAAAGAGAAACGTGAAGTATGGATGTGAAGTCTTACTGGGAGAAGTGGTACAGTAGAACCATACCATGAAAGGATAAGTAGTATCCCCCAAATTCCATCATGTGAAATTTAGAATTACATTATTACAAACTTGATGAAGTGACCGTGGCAGGTCGGTGCATATTGCTAGCAAGAGTTTAGAGTCCCACTGGGCCACTCAGAATGTCCTTGTATAGCACTGCCTAGTTATGGCAGTTTCTTCTCACTTAAATATTCATAGTGACAACTCTGGATCTTGGAGCTTCTGGGAAAACGGCAACTATTCCAAGAATTTTAGGATTGATGGTGCCTGTATCATCAACCAAATCCAGGGAGGTTGAACTGGGAAAATATTGGTAACTCAGGTACCCATCTTCTAACTTCCTTTTTCTCCAGATAGGGTTGTCTCTTCTTTCTTCCTTTCCTCCACAGAAGATAAGAATTTTAGTATACCCATTTAAGAATGCAGGACTGGCCAGAAGACAGAAACCAATTGCCAGTCACATTTTACTAAAATTTAAATTTGTAACAAAATTTCCTAGTATTAGGTATCACTGTCATTGCTAGTTCTTTCTCATCAACTTCAAGTAAAATTTAATAGCAACTGAAATTAAGGTATCAACCTATACTAGTAAAGGATAGGAACCCATGATACAGACAAGTAGGAAATGATACTTATTTTAAAATATATTTTAGTTTTAGAATGGATTTGTCTAAATCTCAGAACTTGTAAGACTGTAACCCAGTGGAAATAGTTTGACATCTTAGAAATTAAAAGTTACAGAGATTTTGTACCGTTTTTGTTACTGGTTTTTTAAAATGCTGAATATATTTGTAATGTTGAAGAAAGATTATTATTTAAGTAACTCAGGCCTCAGTTCTGCGGTGGAGACGGGCTTTGACTGAAGTAATTATCATTGCTTGCTTTCTGGTGCCCTTTTTATTTTACTTTGGTAGTTTTGAGCCACATGAATAATTAACATACTTAATGATTAATTATAAAGTGCCAACAACCTATTTCCCATAGTTTAGCAGAATGGTAGTGTATTTTATAGGAATGTGAGTGGTGGTTTATGAAAAGTATGTTGAGGTCTGTCTGTGAATATCCCTTATTAGAGCAGAACTGCAAATGCTACAACTACACACTTTGTTTGGCTTCTTGCAATGGGATCCTTTGTGCTTTCTTCATCAAAAGCTGTGCCTGGCCTTTAAAAAACAATGAAATTACTCTGTAAGACTCATTCCAGGGTTGTTAAAACATTATCTACCTTCCTTATCTGCCCTCTGCTCAGAAGTCTCCCAGTCTTATTTTCCTCACTCCCCTCCATTTTTTCCTAGTAAGACAAGGCTAAGAACCAACAAAAGTTTAGGTACTTATATACTTACTTTATTCTGTTTTAAAAATTATCTTCTAGGATTTTTAGTAAACAACCATTTCAGGTCTTAAAGCCTTCTTCTAAGCAGGCGTTAGAGTAAAATTAACTGTGAGCTTTTTAATTATTGTGACTTTTTTTTTTTAAGCAAGTTCTGCTTGATTATGTCAAAACCAGATATTATGATTTGGCCTACTATAATTAAGGATTCACTAGATAATATCTGTACTTGAGTACTACTAGTCCACAAAAGCAGTTCACTTCAGAAATCCCTTGTGTTGGGCACTTTGATAAGCCATGGAGATGTAAGGGATGGTACCCACTGATAAGCTTCTTAGAGGCTGTAAATGCTCACACTAAGCGGATTTTACTCTTAACTTTCTTCCTCCCTTTCTTTCTTTTCCTCATTTTCTTTTTTCTTTTTTAAATGTGAAAAAGCTAGAAAAATAAGCATAAAATAGGTCTTAGAAGTCAAATTGATAATCTGCATATTTTTTTGAAATAAATATTCATAGTAGGTAATGATTATGATAAAGTCACATTATTTTTAGTGACACCAAGTGGAAGGTTTACAGGAAAAAGTGGTTTAAGATCATTCTCTCCTGTGAACTCTCAAGAGTACTGGTGAATTTTTCAACATCTTATTCCCCAAAGGTCCACTTTGCTTTTTAAGCCTCATTCTTCCTTATATATCACAGTTTGACAAACAAGACAAACCCACTGACCACTTTCTTATGACCTGCTAATTTTGAACTGCACAGTGGAACTGGGTATAGAAGAAGAAGTGTGAAACTTTGGGCTGAACTTATTATTAATAATTAAAGTTATAGCATCCTAGACTTTAAGAGCTAAAAGGAGCCTTGGAGTTCATGTACTCCTTAGTTTAAAAATGAAAACCAGAAGACAGTGACTGCATATATGGTACTCTTGAGTACATTTTCTATTGGGTCTTATTTTTTCAGTTGTTAATTGTAAGAGTACTGGTGATAGTCAAGACTGACTAGCTTGGAGGAAGAGTGAGGGGTAGTAACTTGAATTAATAATTTTAGCTTTTTTTAAAAACATAGAATACATTCATTGCTTTCATGTACCATGAAATTAAAATAGACTAACAAATTTTTTCCTAACTGGAGTTTTTAGAGGAACTGTGTTTTATGTCAAGAGAATAATTAGCGTTTATAGTACTTTATTGAATCTAAAATAACACAGATTGTAGGACACGCTATTCTTTTATTATTACGAAGGAAGAAAAATGCTGCCAATTAGTTGTAAGATGCTGTCTGTTGGGTGGTATATTTTGATTTAAGAGATAATGTGGGAAAAAAGTGAATTTTGGATTCTATAAAATATAAGTTGTTTCTTCACAAATAGACACCTCAGAATTGCTTAGGAACACTGCCACCCTACCCTTGCTTAAGTTACTGTAACATTTCCCCTAGATCTTATTTTCACTACTTTTTGTTGTTGTTCCTTGAAAATAGTACAGTGATATACATGAGTGCAGAGCTCAGCTTTCATTTGAGTGAAAACAATCCTAATATGATGAGGTCTTTACATATTTATCCATTTGTGTATTCTTTTACAAGTAGATAATGCCTCATTTTTCTTAGACAAAGCACTTCCAAGGATAGTATGTTTGTGTAAAAATTTTAAAAATTACTTTTTAAATGGAAGAAGACAGTATTGCCATTTATGAGGTGCCCTCAACTCAACTGCCTTCTCATCTAAATGGGAAAGTTGTTTTAAGAGATTCTGATTAGGAGCTGTGGTGTAAAGGCTAGGAATTTGTACTTCTGGTAGTATTCTCAAGATATTCTGATAAAGCCAGGCTATAAAGCAATATTTGGAAGATTGCTGTTGGCTCCGTTTGTATATACACATATATATTGAAGTCATTTTTATATACAAGTACATGTTTAGGAAACTGCCACATTTTTAAGAGGAGTATGAGGACAGCAGGCTTAGAGTAGAGGTTGATGGTAGTATGAAAAGAAACTTGGTTCTGATTAGTCAGGGAGTTGTAGAATTTCAAACAGATATTTAAAAACCAAAAGGAATGGCTGAGATGTAGAACTGGGTAGGGAAGTTGAAAAATAGGAACTAGCACAGATTAAGGTGATTGGTGTAGATGAAAAGCCCTATTACCAAGAGGTTCTGCTCAATCCTCTGTGAAATTTACTGGCCCTTTTTATCTGAGTTATAAAGCACTGTCTAACCCAGCTTCCAACATTTTCTTTGGCAGACACCCTTAGGTGAACCTGATTATTGAAACGTAAACCTGATTGTTTTATTTATTAATTGACCTACAGTGTTTTAAGAATTAGATTATTCTGTGTTGCTCTAAGGTATATTTAATTGTATCTGATACATTCACTATATTATGCTTAATGTAATTACCATTTTTTCTTATAATTTATGCTAATTGAAATTAAGAACTTCGTGCTTGGTTTATGTCCTCAAAGTAATTTCTTAAAAATAAGAATGAGAGAACGAAGCAGGTTTACATAGATTGTCAGCATCATATAATAATTTAAAACAATGAAAGTCATCAAACTCCTTAATATTACAAGTAAGGAAAATGAAATCTGGAGAGATTTTTGGCCTACAGAAATTAATGACAGAATTGGAAATAGAACTCAGGATTACGGGTCTCAGGGACAGATGTGATTATGTGATTTGAGTGTTACACAAACATTTATACTTTGTATTTAAGATAAAAAAACTTTTCTTCATCCATTTGGAAGAGAACATAAAAACATAAATATATCTGGATGATCTGAAAATCCCATTGTAATCAGTAGTTTAAACCTATTCACTTGCAAGGTCATAGAGTGTAAGAAGTTGAAGTAGTTTAAGCTAGCCTTTCTTGGAGATCCTAGGCATTCATAAGTATTAGGTCTATTTTATCTGAGTGCTACTTCTATTTAAATATTAATACCATCAAGGAAACTTTTCAATTATGGATAAGGCTGGATTTGATCTAATAGCTCAGAATACTACAAGATTTTAAGTGGTAGGGTTTTACTTTTAATTTTTGTACATCTGACAATATTATATTTTTATGGAGATATCCTACCTAAGTATTCTGGGAATGCTTTGATACCATGTCAATTTTTAAAAAAATGATCTCCCTAGGATTTCATCATCATGGCCAATTAAAAAGTTGAGAAATTGAAAATTGTTTTAACCAACAATTAATGAAATCAAGTCTTAGTAAGAAGAGGAAGTCATATAATGACGAGGTAGATGTCATTACATCCAGTCTATTTTTGTCTATTTTTCTTCAGTAATCTGTCTTTTGCTAGTCTCTGTATTAAATTTTTACAAAATATACTGTACTTTAAGAAATACCTGTATATTTCCTATATATCCATATATAAACACATCTGTATACCTATATATTTCCTAGGTAGAGGAAATACCTGTATATTTCCTATGTACCTATATATCTACATCTGTATTCTAAATGAATTCAGGAATGCTTACAAATTTTCCTTTTCTGAATGTTCACTGATATATTCATCTAATTTCCAAATATCCTGTATTTTAAAAACTTTGGATTTTAGAAATTTAGTTTTAAATGATACAGCTATTCCATGTAATACACCTTTACAATTTAGTTTTTAAATCATTTTTTAATTGATTGAACAATGGATTGGAGGTTGTTATTTTTAAGAAAAGAAAAACGAAATGCAGCCCCTTATGTTAAATGCCTTTGTCAGAATGGTTATTGCTAAATTTTATGTTATGTGTTTGTTACCACAATTAAAAATAAAATATTTTTTTAAAAAGTCTACTCATGTATTCTTTTTTTTGAGACAGAGTCTCGCTTTGTTGCCCTGGCTAGAGTGAGTGCCGTGGCGTCAGCCTAGCTCACAGCAACCTCAAACTCCTGAGCTCAAGCAATCCTTCTGCCTCAGCCTCCCGAGTAGCTGGGACTACAGGCATGCGCCACCATGCCCGGCTAATTTTTTTTTTCTATATATATGTATTTTTAGTTGTCCAGATCATTTCTTTCTATTTTTTGGTAGAGACGGGGTCTCGCTCTTGCTCAGGCTGGTCTCGAACTCCTGACCTTGAGCGATCCACCCGCCTCGGCCTCCCAGAGTGCTAGGATTACAGGTGTGAGCCACCGCGCCCGGCCTACTCATGTATTCTTAAATGATACAATATTTAAAAATCACTGTGCAACAGAATGGTAATCTAAAATGGGTAATAATTGAAAATTTTGGCCTGGAGAATTCAGTTGCCAAGTATTTTTTAAATCATTCTTTTGACATGTTTATTTATGGTAAAAAATTTAAAAATATAGAAAAGCATAAAGAAGAAAATAAAAATCACAGTTACTAAAAAAAAATATTAGTTGTCATTTTGGAGAGGCAATAAAGCAAAAAAGCTTGCTGCCTAGATTAGAATCTGTTCCATGACTTACTAACTGTGACTTGAGGAAGTTATTTAACCTTTCATTACTTCAGGGTCCCCATCTACAAAATGGAATTAATAATGTTACCTACCTCGTAAGGTTGTTTGGAAGATTAAATGAGTTTCTACATGGAAAGTGCTACATAAGTGCCATATATTTTTGTTGCTTTTATTCATGGAATATTTTTGTTCTATAATGTCGTGGTTGTTAGGTTTTCAGACAAGCCCAGAAAAAATTTTGGAACCAAGAAAGCAATAATAACAGCAATAGCAGCTAGTCTGGATATGCACTGACTTTGTGCAGGGAATTCATCTAAATATGCACATACATTAACTTATTTATTTCTGTATTATTCTTATTTTACAGATGAAAGAAAGTGGTAAAGTTATATGTTTGCAGTTGCCACATAGAACATATTACATTAAATTCTTTTGGCACTCAAGGTGGAGAGCATAGAGTAGAGATTGGTGAAAGTGGACAGACATATACTATCTTATTAAGAATGACGATAAATTTGCATCAGTTGTTATTCAACATGTCTTAGGTGGAGCTGAGATTGGATAGAACACAGGGTGTCTCAGTCCTGTAGAAATTCTTCACCAAGTCCTTTAAAAGGTTTCACATCGATAAGTAGTTATCTCTTATTTATGAATGTTACCGGGGAAAAGCTATAGAATACGTAGTCTAAATATCAAATCTTTTTTCATTTTGGAATATATTTGATAAAGGCAAATATAAACATTGACTTACATCCTTTAACACTCAGTTAAGAACTGGGAGAAAAAAACTAGGAATGGGTTACATTTGAGCTAAGATGGTAATTCTAATTTTAGTCCTCAGAATTCTATATACTTTGTAGCTTGAAACAGGTTTCCAACTGAAACTTTTTATTCTCCTAAGGTTATTTTCATATCTACATTTGTTTGACTTCAGTGTCTTGGAACTATAGTCTATGTCAGTTTCCTTTGGGGACATAAAATTGCAAATCTTTTGTTCAGAGAGCAAAGTTGTTTTAAAAGGTAACAATGTGATGTGTTATCTTCTTAATAATATTGCCTGCTCTACAAAACTCTTTCTTATATATTCTTAATAAATCTTCACAACATTATAGTATGAAGAGTATTACCTTTTTTTTTTTCTTTGCCGAGGAGGAAACTGAAGCACAATCGAGTCACTTGTCAAAGTTTAAAGATTAAAAGTTCTGCTAAGTGACAGTTGGGACTAGTAAAGAGTATCCTGACTTAATCTTTCCACCACAAAATGCTGTCTCAAAATCTCTTCATACAACTTGGCCTAAAAATGATTTTGTAAATGTTAGAAACCACTGTTTAACAAGAACAGACATTCTTTTAAAGTTAAAGACTAAATTCACAGAAGATATCCGGGAGATAATTTCAGCCATTTTTTTGACTGCAACGCTGGCAAGAAATATTTTACATAGCATCCCAGTACACACATGCACATCCATCTGTATATCTAATTGAAACAAAAGTTTCAGAAAACAGGAGGTTCCATTACTATATGGAGTGCATTCTGATTTTTTCCCCGTTGCCAATTGCAAACCAGTAAATGGATTAGACTACCCACTGATGAGTTGCAGTTAACAGTTTTAAAAAACAATGATCTTTAGATTTTATTTTATCTTATATAGATAAATTAGAATGTCCAAATGAGTATTATTACCCAAAGTGATTACTTTAGGACTATAATACCTTTATTCCAGCGATGACTGCATTGTTGAAAACCATTTTTAAAGTTCCATTTGGAATAGTTGAAATAACCTGAACATTCTTAAAATATCCTGTTTTGACAGATTTTCATCTTGAAGATAAAATTTTTTTTAATAGCAGTCATTTGGAGGCAGTTTAGCAGATAAGATGGATAATTAATCAAACATACTGTTAGTGAATTTTAGATACATAAAATAACAATAAATTGTATAAATATTTCATGTTAGCATCTAGTGTTTTTATGATTAATCTCATAACAACTGAGGTTAATTACTGTATATTCATAATTCTATAGATAGACAAAAGTGTTTGGTAAAAGATTTATAGTTGAAATAGTAGCTGCTTAGGGTGTGGTAACTGTTAGAGATTAAGGACATGGGCAAGGGTATGTCTCACCTGCTTTCAAGAAAATGGGGTAGAGAATGGGTTCTATTCCGTTAAAAAATGGTAATTTATACTAAGTCCAATGTCAGAGAGCATAAACTACTTTTCCTGCTTATCCAATGTATTTTTCTTAATTGAAATTATTTTACTTATGTCTTAGTAGATATTAAGACTTAACTCTTGAGTTTCTATTCTAGTAAACATAATTCTGTGAACAGTTTTGAGGTTAAACTTTTGTGTTCTATTGTTTTTGCTGAAATGATTTAGCTTGAGTAGTCATTAGGCATTTTGCTATCTTCTTTTCATGCCCTCACTGTATAGTCCAGATTTGTTATATACAAGTAACAGAATCTTAATTCTAATGTTCTACTTATTATGTGTTAATTTCATAACACATTAGTAAAGTTACTATGCTGATTTCTTTTTTGTCCTATTTTTTCATTATCTGTGAGACCGAATCTTTGTTTTCACTGGCTTTTAATAGTTTGCTTCCTGTTTCCATTTAAAAACTAAAAAGTCAAAATCTTTGTTTGTTCCCTATTCCTACTCCTTGTTTTTATTTCACGTCTGCTTATTATTTTTATTTTGCATTTATCTTGATACTGGCAGTCATCTTCTTTTCACATTTGTCTTTTCAATCATTAGCTAGAGATGATTGCTATGGAAAATCCTGCAGACTTGAAGAAACAGTTGTATGTGGAATTTGAAGGAGAACAAGGAGTTGATGAGGGAGGTGTTTCCAAAGAATTTTTTCAGCTGGTTGTGGAGGAAATCTTCAATCCAGATATTGGTAAATATTTTAGTGATGTGATTATGGTGTCATCTTTTTGAATTAAGAATTTGTTTATCTTGGTTTATAAATATCTTCAGCCATGAAGAGCAGCAAAAGGTGGTTTTGGTATGAATTACCTAGAATCACGGATCATGACTAAATTTGTGGATTTTAGGACTGATTTATATGACTTATTTATTCAAGTTCCTATTTAGATTACTTAGCCACATATTCTAATACAGGAAATTATCTCTTTAGTAAATTGAATTGGAAATAGTTTAGAATGGTACATTAGAACAAACAAAGGGATTTTTTGGCTCTTTGTAGTCTAAAACAGTCATCATACTCATGATGTTCCTAAAACATGAGTTTCGAAGAACAATGGTTTGACGAATGTTGAGAGATGTCTCACAATTGTATCATGGTCAAAGTTCAGAAACACCGGCTGATAACAAATTAATTAGGTTTATTTGGTATAAGATTTCTTGGAGCTTAGTATAGTAATGTTTCCTGCAAACTTGAACTCTAGAATGCTTTTTCTGCCCTGCATCTAATAATAATTGCCTTCCAGAAGAGTTTTTATTGAACACAGTTTGGGAAAAGCAAATGTGATGACATGTTAATCTGAAAGTGAAGGATCAGTTTCAGTTTTTTAGCCTCCTTTCTTGTGATAAACAAAGTAGAACAGGGAAAAGACACAGCGCCTTGGATAGTCTGCTTAACTGGATAATTCTGAACTGGTTCAGTTTCTACACTATAACTACTTGGTTACTGGGCTTGCTTATGTTTACAATTGGGTGCATGACAGTATAGGAAAAGGTTTCCACTAAAGATTCCATCAAAATTGTGAGGAATGTGGCATAGAATAATGTGCATCATTTCCCTTAAGTTTTGAGACTTGAGCTGTTACATCCTGTTGCATACTGAGGTATATGTATATTGAATTGACCTTTCTGTTTTTGTTTTTAATGAGTTACACACACACACACATATATGTACGTATAACTTGTCTGTGTTCTAGCCAATGTTTATTAATAATCAGAAGGCTATGCCATTTATATGTACTTTGTTCAGAGTAAACCAAAGCCATAAGACCATGCCCTTTTTGAGATAGAAAATTAATTTATAAACCTCATAAGGAATTACTTTATAAGCTTCATAAATTTGGTAAACCCTACCTCTAGCTTCTGATGTATCTAGAAATGTTAATTATATGCAGAAATATTTTTACAAAAAAATATACATTAAGCAGTTCGAATTGATAGTAAGGTAACCGAAATAATGGCAATAGAAATATCAAAAAGGAATATTCTATAAAAGGCATCCTTTATGGTGCTTTTCTTCTGGGGACTTGAAAAAGTGTGCCCAAAATGGAATCTTCTTGGACTTCAAAATTGTTATCTTTCTTTTTTTTTTTTGAGACAGAGTCTCACTCTGTTGCCCTGGCTAGAGTGAGTGCCGTGGTGTCAGCCTAGCTCACAGCAACCTCAAACTTCTGGGCTCAAGGGATCCTCCTGCCTCAACCTCTCGAATAGCTGGGACTACCGGCACGAGCCACTGTGCCCGGCTGATTTTTTTTCTATATATTTTTAGTTATCCAGATAATTTCTTTCTATTTATTTTAGTAGAGACGGGGTCTCGCTCTTGCTCAGGCTGGTTTCGAACTCCTGAGCTCAAACAATCCGCCTGCCTCAGCCTCCCAGAGTGCTAGGATTACAGGCGTGAGCCACCACGCCTGGCCCCCCAAAATTGTTATCTTTCATATATGGAGATAAGCGACCTAGATAATTTGTATTCTGATTAATTTATAATAATAGTTTATTGCTCTTGAGACTAAGGATGTGCATTTATGATATTTCATCATATTATTATTTATCACCTATTCTTGACCCCGTTAATACTATATTTGTAACTAAATGAAGTTCTTAGCACTTCATGGATGTTGTAACTTGCTTGGCCTGTAAAAAATGTTTAGATATAAACTGAAATTCAAGTATGAATTGAATAATTTTTAAACCATTATTTCATGAACATTAAATTTGCATTAGAAAAATGTCCTAAGGTTAATTTATGCTCTTAATGACAAGGAGACATTCTAAAGTTCCTTTTCTTTTTAACTTAAAAGTGAAAATGAAGGAACATTTTAAAGCTTTAAGAATTCTTATAAACTCATTTTAAAATTTCTTATAAACTGATTTTAAAATATATGCTGCATTATTTGATTTCTAAACTCTTTGTTCTACTGGAAATTACAGATTTTTTTCAGACCTGATTCTTAAAATATTTTCATCTAGTTTCTTAGTAGCAACTAAAAAATTTAGTAAAATGAAAAAATTCTAAATTCAGTTAGAATATGTATTTTCCCATAAGACATCTATTTTTTAAAAAGGAAGGGGATAGTTCTTAGTAATGCTCAGATAGGTAAAACCAAAGATTGCAGTTTTCCAATGAGTGTTATTAAAAAGGTCACCAGCTTAGGTTTTGAATAGTGAAGACTATGTGAAACTGAAAGACTACAAAACCACTTTTGTTTTACTTATTGGGTAATAATTAATATGTGTATTAAACAGCTTTGCCTATCTAAGTTATCAAGTTTATTTAAATTTATGTACTTATATATTTGTTAGAAAGATGCTAGAAAAATTTCATGGGGACCATTGTGCAATTTTAAAAAAACAAAACCAAACCTTTTCTTACTCTAATACAAAATTGTTGTTTAAAACAGTACATGTTGTATAAATATAAGTAATTACATTTTTATAAATGAAACATTTAAAAAATATGGTAGCCTTTTTTTTTGTTTCTGTGTTTATTTTTCTACCATGGAGTAGATAAAATTATAAGTATAAATTAACTTTTCATATATGTTGGTAAAAGATTAGAACAGTTCAATCTTTAATTTGCTTATTACATTATTTCCTTGGCTTCTTAAAATTAACATACCACCATTTGCCACAATTTATAATTACCAGATATATTTGGACATTGTTTTCTCAAGTGCTAATGTAATAGAAAAAAAATTTTACACACCTAGTATATCAAAAATGTTTTATGTGTGTAATTGTTTTAAATTTACATTTGTATTCATCAGTCTTTAATAAAATATAATAGTAATGTATTTTTTAAAATCATTTCTTATAGGTATGTTCACATATGATGAATCTACAAAATTGTTTTGGTTTAATCCATCTTCTTTTGAAACTGAGGGTCAGTTTACTCTGATTGGCATAGTACTGGGTCTGGCTATTTACAATAACTGTATACTGGATGTACATTTTCCCATGGTTGTCTACAGGAAGCTAATGGGGAAAAAAGGAACTTTTCGTGACTTGGGAGACTCTCACCCTGTAAGTTCTTTGTCATTTTTTTATTCAATCTCAGATTTTATTTAAATGCAAAAATACAATTTATATATAAACAAAGTTTTTGTTTGCAGTCTTTGTCAATGTTTATACTCAGTAAGATAAAGGAGTTTTAATTTGACTGAAGTACCATAAACACTTAAAAACTCAAAGGGGAAAATTTTTATATACTGCTGTCAGCAAGCAGCTTTTATAAGATTGATTCTGTTGAGAAGTATTTTTAAACATTTCGTTTGTTTTTTAATGAAATCGTATGAGATTGCCAAGTGAAATCAGAGCTGCCCTGACTAAGGGTCTTGATAGCTGCAGTTAGTGTGTCTGTTTCTCTCTCCCACCCTACTTCCTGCCCCATCCCTGCCTCCCCCGCCACCCAACCTTGAGACACCAGAGAGGTTCTAGTAGAATACTGTGTAAACTCTGTTGCTAAATTGATGGTATGGGACATCATCAGTGACTGACAGTCTTTCTCTTCTAGGCTGTAGATTATTTGGGGGGGCAGGAGGGATACTATCTATGTATTAATTATTGACAAAGTTTTTGTTTTTGTTTTTCTCTAGGCAGAGTGATATAAACTATTTTTTTTGTTGTTGTATTTGTAGTTCTGTGGTAGCCTCAATTTTCCATTTCTGGTTGTTAGGTTCTGTACCAGAGTTTAAAAGATTTATTGGAATATGAAGGGAATGTGGAAGATGATATGATGATCACTTTCCAGATATCACAGACAGATCTTTTTGGTAATCCAATGATGTATGATCTAAAGGAAAATGGTGATAAAATACCAATTACAAATGAAAACAGGAAGGTAATGTTTTTACATCATCCTTGCTTTTTATCTCTTTATTAACAATTTTGAAAGCATGTGTGCTTGTAATTTTTAAAGAAATATCTAGTATTGTCCATACAGAGAACTAAGAAATCAAGTAACCAAGTTCATGTAAATGATAGCACCACAGTTTTCTAACTTTTGAATATTAGCTGGTATGAGAGCCCACAGTGGGACACTAAACTGCTTTTAGAGAAAGAGGACACGAAGTAAGAGATGGTGAATAGCTAAATGTGTCTGTATTATAAAGCAAGAAGCAGGATGTTTCTTAAGCTGTAGAGCTAAAAGAACCTCATGATTAAGGTGCTTACCACAGAATAAATGAAAATTATATTTAATCTACACGTTTATCTTATTTATGATATAAATACACTTCCGAAAAATATTCTTTATATCAGATTTGGGTTTCTATTGACCAAAAATTATTCATCTGAAAATAGGAATAACCCAGAACGTAACAGGAAAATTATGATAAATATGTGGTATACCTTTAAGAAACATATGTTTATACTGATATTTTTTGATTATTGTACTCACTGGGGATACAAAGTACATTTTCTTTTTGATTTGGTATAGTAGTTTTTATCTGTCAAGGAAAACTACAGTATTTTTGCTGAACTGGACACAGTAGGCAACTTACCAAATATTCTATAGTAGAAAACATGGGACTTCCTGGTTTGTTCAAATCAAGCACATTATGCTTTATTAAAACTGTTGGCTTTTATAAATAGATGATTACATGGTTTACATGTGTCTCTCCTTGTATACTCATTTGAGGGAACCTAAAAAATGTACTGAGGCTCTAGCTTTTATATTCAGTTCTGTTTAAATACTATCAAAATTGAAATTTTTGTGTATAATGGTTTTATGTACATGGCGCCTTTTTACAGTTTAATATTGGGTATCACAGAGACCTGTGAAATTGTAAGAAGTGGTTTCCTTTGTATGTGTAAAATTTGAACTTTAAAAAATATTCTTGAATGTCTTTTCCTTGGGAAAATAAAAACAAAACAGCTATGCAGCCCAATTACTTGTGCTCTGTTTGCATAGCATATTATAAGAAGTTCTTGTGGTTAATGTCTTCTACAGGAATTTGTCAATCTCTATTCTGACTACATTCTCAATAAATCAGTGGAAAAACAGTTCAAGGCTTTTCGGAGAGGGTTTCATATGGTAACCAATGAATCTCCCTTAAAGTACCTATTCAGACCAGAAGAAATTGAATTGCTTATCTGTGGAAGCCGGGTAAGAAAGCAGATGTCTGCAAAAAAATTATGTATCAATTCATCGTTTGTAATGGTGTAGTATATAAGATATTAAAACATACTTTCTTGACTTTCCAGAATCTAGATTTCCAGGCACTAGAAGAAACGACAGAATATGATGGTGGCTATACCAGGGACTCTGTTCTGATTAGGTGAGGTGCTTAATTCTTAAAGGGAAGATCTGATTCACCAAAGGGGTGTGTGTGTTATGCTTCAGCCCTTTGTCTCTAGGTACTACTTCCCAAATGAGCAAACTGACAAATTCTCATCTATAAAGTCAGAAATACATTTGTAAAATAGTCACCAATTTTTAGAGTTAATCTTGTGATTTATTTCATGAATTTAAGTGTTTTATGTAAGTCTCATGTTTTTTCCTACATTTGGAGTATAGATTATATAATATTTCTGGTGATTCTGATCAGAGTATGCTTACTGCTGGTTAGAAGATGATGAAAATTAGACTACCTCTGAATATTTCTTTCTTTTGAACTCTACATTTTTGAACTGCTCTTACATAGCTCCCTGTATCAAGCACCTTTTGTGTGAAATGGTACATTCCTTTATTTAACTTAGGATCACAAGATACAAATTAGTATTTCCATTTTACACCTTAAGAAATTGAGCCTTAAATTCTCACAGAAAGATGTAGAGGTTCCCAATTCTGTCTGCTCCAAGTAAATGCCCTTGCTACTATACTGTCTACTTCCTGTACTGTGTATGCTATCCAATCCTGAAAGACATAGGCTTCCCCAACCCCTGCTAAGATTGGTAAAATGGGCAAAGATACCTTTTGTCACGCACTGGTGGGGTGAGGTGAGTAGACATGCAGATACCTTCCTATAAGCTGCCTCCAAAGGTTATTGCTCTAGGCCTCTCAAGTATGTAAACACCAGAATGAATATCAACTCTATCTAGCAGTAAGTAATATTTTATGTTAATGCTATTTTTTATATTACACTTGACCCTTGAACAGTATGGGTTTGAACTGCGTGGTTCCACATAATGCTTGATTTTTTTTCCCTGTCCACCCAAATGTGTATCCAGTATTAGTGGATACACAGCAAACCCTATGTACTGAGGGCCTGACTTTTCCTCATGCACAGTTTCTGCAGGGCCAACTACAGGACTTGAGTTTGCATGGATTTTGATTCCTGTGGGTGGTTCTGGAACTAATAATCCCTCATTATGCTGAGGGGTAACTGTATATCGCATTAGTTTCTTTTGTTCTGTTATTTCATGTCGTTCTTCATCCTGGTTTTAGGACATTACTGACATTTTCTCTTTATGGTGCACCCTTGGTCATTTCTAGCCGCAGCAGTGGTGAATGTATTTACTCTTAGCAACCACTGTAAGGCTCCTTACTTTGCATTTCAAAGGTGATCATAAAAGGTTGAGATAACGTAGTGATAAGAAAACCGCATGTGTCAGTCGCAAAGAGTATCAGGGCAGTATCTCTATAATATTGATCACTGATAGGATTTCTAACAGAGTTTTTATGAATATAACCATCCCTGTTTATTTTTAAATTAATGTTTATATAATCTTTTTCTATCAGTTTATTTTTAACCCATGTTACTTAATTTGAAATGAGTTTCTCGTAAACAGCATATAGTTGTCATTTTTTAAAAATCCACTCTGTTCATCTCTGCCTTTTTATTGGTGTGTTTAGACCATTAATATTTAAGGTCCCTATTGATATGTTAGGGCTTAATTCTGCTGTCTTACTATTTTTCTGTTTATTTATAGTTCCTTGTTTCTTTCTTTCTCTCTCTCTCTCTCTCTCTCTCTCTCTCTCTCTCTCTCTCTGTCTTCCATGGGTTACTTGAACTTTTAGGATTTCTTCTTGATATATTTATAGTATTCTTTTGTGTGTATATTGATTTCTCTCCCCCCGCCACCTTGAAGACAATAAATGTGTGTACTGATTTCTATAGTTTTCATTATGGTTGCTGTAGGTATTACATTCTAGATATATTATTTCACTGGCATCAACACCGCCACCTTGTGTGAAATGTGAAAACCTTGCTTTCAGTTAGACCTTTTTCCCCACTTTGAAATGTTATTGTCATCAGTATTAACGCTGTTAGAATTTTTGTATCAGTTATCAATTGATTTATAGAATGAGAGGAATGGTAGTCTATTGTGTGTATACCCATATTTCTGCTATATTCATTCTTTTTTCCCAAGATTCTATCTTTTATCACTTCCCTTAGCCAGTCTTCAAAGGCAGGTCTGCTAATGAGACCTTTTAATTTTCCTTTGTTTGAGGGTGACTTTATTTTCCTGTTATTCCTGAAGAAGAGCTTCAGGCTTCTTGAAACTGTAGGTTTGTGTCTTTGCCAAACATGGAAAATTTTCAGCCATTATTTCTTCAAATACTCTTTCAGCCCCACTCTATTTTCTCCTTTCTAGGCCTCTAGTGATATGAATGTTGAGTCATTTGTTATCGTTCCACATGTACCTGAGGCATGGTTCATTTTTCAGTATATTTTGTCTCTTTTCAGATTTCTGTCCTCTGTCATCTTCACTGTTGAGCCTATCTAATGATTATTTTTCTTTTAATGTATTTTTCTGGTCTGTAATTTCCATTTTGCTCTTTTTTTATTGTAACTTTTGTTTTTTGCCAAGATTTTCCATTGTTTCATTTATGAAACAGCAGAACTTGTAATTGCTTGTCAAATCATTTTTATAATGACTGCATTACAATCCTTGTCGGATAATTTCAACATCTTACTCATCTCAGTGTTGGCGTCAGTTGATTTTCTTTCCTTCGTGTGATTTTCCTGGTTCTTGGTGTGACAGGTAATTTTTGGATTATATCTTGGACATTTTGTCTATCATGTCAGAAAACTTTGGGTACTTTCAGTTTTTTATTTTAGCAGGCAGTCATCCTATTCAGATTTTGCATGCAGGTCCTGGTGTATTTTTGTGGGTTGTGGTTCCAATGCCTAGTTTTCAGAGCCTTTACAGTGGTGTTTGATTTGCTTCAGTTATGCTTTTCCATTGGGGTTCCTGCTGGTGCTGTATGAGCAGGCTTCTCCAGGTGGAGCTGTGTAGGGTGTCTTTGGATAGGGGAAGCATGCTCCTGTTGGCTCTCCATTCCCTGGAGAGCACTTTGTGAGCTTTGTGCCTTTTGTGGCCTGATCCACCTTGTTGGGGTCCCTGGTGGTAGTGCTCCTGAACACATTGTGTCTCTGGGCTGGGAGGAGACTGAGACTGGCAGGGAAGGAAAGCACTTCCAGGGCCAGTTACAGCAGAATTTCTCCTGCCAGTGCTCAGTAGCCCTGTTTCTCTGATCAGTAAGGAGAATCTCAGGCGTGGTTTCATTTCTTTTTGAGGTTTGAGATTTTTATTCTTTCTCACATTTGTTTCTAGGATATTATTGTGTTTTATTCACCCTTAAGTTTCTTTTAGTTTAGTTTTAGTTCCCTTATATTTGATGTGATTTTTTTTCCTTTTATTTCTAATTATAAGGAATTAATATTTCCATTAAAAGGAAATTATTATTTCCTTTTATTTCTAATTATTCCTTGTCTTCTGCATCTTCCATCTCTGATTTAGTTGTTCTTTCATAGCCTCTGTTATTTTTAAAATTCCTTTTAGCTCACTTTGAAATTTGTTTACAGTTTTCATCTGTTTTATTGGCATATCTTTTATGTACTGTCATTCTCATGTACGTGCACATACTCTCTCTGCTAATGACTTCTTAATTGACCCTTTTCTTTTGCTCATTTTTTTGTGAAATGAGTTTCCCATACTTGCAAGAGGGAAAGATGGGCCAAGATAGCTCTTCTTGTTTCAGGAGACTCATATTTGTTTTTGTAAAATGATCAAAAATATGGTCTCGTGCTTTCTGAAGTTGTCTCCCCTGCTCCGCGTGTATTTGAACCTTTTTTTTTTTTGTCTTTATCATCTTTGATCTGGCCCATTTGGACATTATTCTCAGCATTTTCTCCTCAGTGCAAGGTTAATTTTGGAGGGGATTTTGGTGTGCAAGACTTTTAAGGGCCCAGAGCTTATTGCATCATGATCCCTTTGCAATTATCTGCAAATTAAATCCTGTAGAACTTCCTCTAACTTTAAGGTGATGTTAGCAAATGACCTTTGCTTTCCAGCAGGTTGGCAGTTTTTAGGTTCTCTTATTCTCAAGGCTGTAAGAAATCTAGTTAGTTACCTTCCTTCTACTTCCTTACCAACCGTGTCTTCTAGTTTTCAGTGCATAGTTCCTATTCATTTATATGCGAGGATTCTTGGGGGATGCCTTATTACCTAGTTTTGTTGTAGATAACATCTGTGGGTCTTTGGTTTTCCCATCCAGTTTGCTCTTTTGGGAGAGGAGATTGAGAAGGAAAAAGGAAAGGAAAAAAAGCAAAGACAAAAGTAAAATTACTTGTCATATCTACCATCATCTTCCCAGAACCCCTTATTTGTCTTTCACCTGATTTTAGTATTTATTAGTATCATTACATGAATTCATGTAATTAAATGAGAATTGCAAATTGGTGATTTGAAAAAAATTTTGTTTTCATGTTTTTCCTGCATATATACCTGCCATTCTTTTTCCTTATCAATGGATCCTATTTGATTACCTTGAAAAGGCATGATAAAATGTATTTAACTTTTTGAGAATAAAGAGTTAATGTAATGATTTTAATAGTGACAGTTGAATTTAGTTTTTTGGTTGGTTTTTGCCTTTTTCAATATTGTTATAAACTCATGGACTATTTTTTATATTTAATATGTTGCATAGTCATTATTCTTAATTATTCTTAATGATACTCAAATTAGCCTTTTTGTGCTTTTAACATGACACAATTAGATTTTGAAATTTTTACCTCACCTTGAACATTCTCAACCTCAGGTCTGGAATAAATCATTTTTCCAAGGAATTACTGGGGAATGGCATTTAGAAGTCAGATTTTGGGTGCAAGGTATGACCTTTGTTATTTAATATTATTACTAGTAGGCCATGTCAGTGGGCAGAGCTAGGAAGAAACTTTTCCCCATATATCCTGGGAGTCACCCCGTATCAATGCAGAGATGTAGCCCCACAGTTTTATGTATGGCTGAATATTGCTACACTGTGTGGATACAGCATAGATTATTATATTCATGGACATAGAGATTATTTCCAACCTTTTGCTATTAGTAG